TTGAGTCATGTACGTTGACGGTGCAGGCCTCCAGGTCGAAGAGTAAAAGCACCCAGTGGAATCTGCAATGTGCGTTGGATGCATTACATATGAAACACTTAGCATGTTCGTACGGGAATGCACCCAGTGGAATCTTTAGTCCCGGTTGGTATACCAACCAGGACTAAAGATCCCGGGGGGGGGCTTGACAGGCCCTGACAGCATTTGAACCGGGACTAAAGATGATCTTCACCAACCGGGACTAAAGATCAAATATGTCCGTTACCCTTTTTAACCGGGACTAAAGATCATCTTTAGCCCCAGTTTTTATTACATCCGGGTCTATTGTGGAATTCGGCCGACCGACGAAAGATAGTTTCTCCACCAGTGATGGGAGAACTATGGGCGAGAGAATCAGCAAGCAGTTAAAGCGAAGACAAAGTTTTCTACTTCGCCGTAGGTTTTCAGGGGGGGGGGAAAGGAGAGAGATTGATCGATCGTTCGATCGTTTCTTCGCCATCGTCAGCTCTATCTTTTTCCTTGTCTGTCACACCTTTTTCTTTCAGCTTGGTGGTTTAGCTGGGGAGAAAGAAGATATAGATGTATATATGTATATCCATCGAATTTGATCGTCACATCTTTTCTATATTTTTTTACGTGCATCCATCATCCTTCACTGCATCCAGGGGCGGATCCAACATGGGTGCAAGTCCCCCTACATCCACAAGACCTATGGATACCTCTGGAACACCCCCTTTGATTTTTTTTTTCACAATGAATGGTAAACTAAAGATCCCTAAATGGTTGGAGATTGAAGAAACTGTGTAACTGAGCCTCTCCAATTTTTTTTCCTGGATCCGCCCCTGACTGCATCTGTCTCAGTTCTCTAAAAAGCGATGAACACATATATATGTAACTAATAATCAGTGATAATATTGCATGAAGTGTAAAGGTTTTTGAGATCGAGACCAGACGAAGAGATGGATAGAGGTGTGGTGATGCTGGCTCATGATGTCGACACTATCACGCACACTGCACCAGCATCTTGTGTACGTTGATCTGCAATAATTCTGCATCGTTGCTGTGATTTCTGAATATGGCCGGTTCAGATCGACTTTTTTCAGTGTTTCGTCGTCGATCGATCGACCAATCGCAAGCAGATATAGGTATGGATGGATCGAGTAGTGGAAGGGCGAGTGGACGTACGTGTGCGAGCTGTTGCCAGGTCAAAAAATGGAGCTAGGAACAGGACTACAAAAGGTGAAAGGACCATACATATGTATGGACGATGGAATCAAAGCTAGCTAGGAAGAATGCTGGAAATTGCAAACGTGCTTGTGGAATGGTGGTGGATGTCTTCCGGTGGGAAGCTATCGACCAGGGTTTAAATCCTCATCCCACCAAGAAATTTCGGTCCTTTGTTCCACCAAAAAAAAAAACAAAAACATGGGCTAAAAGTCGACATATATGTATGTATGGATAGCTAGGGCCTCAAAGCACGAGTTAAGACCTGATCCGTAGAGAACGATATTCCTAGTGTAGGGAGGATAGACTTTCGTGATATTTTTTTACCCCGGTTTTGTATGCTTCTTCTTAATTGAAATATCTAGGGGCCGAGATATTTTTAAAACGCTACAAAAATATTACTGGGAATTGAGGCCATCCTTGGCAGATCCGTTATTTCTTTTTCTTTTCTTTTTCCTTTTGGTTTGGACTATGAGCCACATGTAGGAGGAATGTTCGAGAGAAAATAAAGCCACATGTATGATATTTTTGTAGACAGCAAAGCTAAGCTACCCAATCGGTTGTGGCCTATTATCATGGGGGAGAAAAATGCTCAGCCAAGTGCTGAATAAATTTATTTCTCAAAGAATCCTGCAGAAATAATGTGCAAGTAACCGAAATAATGGGTTTGTGGGCTGAAACGGTTCGTGCCCAAATTGGTGCGAGCCCAGCCCAGGTATACTTCCAAGTTCTCTCTCTGAAAACTCACACTCTGTTATGCTATTATTCTTCTTGTTTTTTTTTTTCTTTTCCATGGTGGGCTGAGATGGTGAGGGCCCAATTTATGATCTCGAGAATAGGATCAATCTCTCTGCGTGTTATGGGCATTGAGATTAAGCAATGAATAATCAAAATTAGTTTCCCTTCAAGTTCTTCTCAATCTATAATCTCTTCTCATCCCAACTAAACTATCTTTCGATCTGGCGGTGTTTTATCCCAAATTCACACTGAAACCCTGCGCATAACACTGCGTTACTGCATTTCTTACAGAGTTTCCGATTGGGATACAACAGAAGCTGCAAGCTGCGAAGAAAAATTCAGCTTCACCATCATGCATTGTGCATATTGTACTTCCTCCGTTTCATAATGTAAGTCATTCTAGCATTTCTCACATTCATATCTATTATTATATAGTAAAAGTCCATTAAACTTCGTACAAACACTCTCAAGCCGCCACGTGGGACTCCTACAAACGCTCCTAAGCTACTACGTGGCTCTCTAATAAATCGCTAGGCCCACTATTTTCATCTATTAGATTTATTTTTAGAATACCCACTATTTTCATTTACGAGATTTATTTTTAGAAAAAAAAACCATAATCCACCTTCCTCCCCTTTCCCCCACCAACCCACCCTCCTCCCTATGGTATGTACGTACGTACGTATCTCTCCCCCTCCTATGCAATCTTCTCATCTCTTTCTTTCTTTTAAATTTGTTACAATTAAAAAAAATATTTTTAAATCATTTCCGTATAGAGGAATAATCATAACCTTGCACATAAGTCTATTTTATCATTCTTCATTATCGTATTCATGGTGCTTAATTAACCAAATAAATACCAATAAAATGTACTACATTCTTTAACTCATAAGAAATATTTATTTTTTATTATATCCTAACCTTAGGATGCTATTGAAGCTGTCAAAAAAAAGAAGAAAAAACAACAATGTATCACTTTATAAAACTTTCATAAATAAATTAAATATAATAGATATGACAAAAAATAAAAACACTTAAAGCATGAGTAACATTAAAAAAAAGTTCCTCCATTATTTCAAATCATATCCGAACCTTTCACATGCCATCCAACAATAAAAAAATATTGTGTAGAACATAGATAATGTAGATCATATCATCATATATCACTTCACAATCATGCATAATTAGATTAGCTCTATAATATCAAAAAATAAAATATAATAATTAGTTCTGATTAGCACTCTAAAAAATCCACTGTTCTAAAATATTGATATGTTAAAATAATATTATTTTCACAAAACAAAGTAATGTTAGTTAAATATTTCAGAAAAATTGACGTTATCATAAATTTAATATTTAAAGGAATATACAATATCCCAAACTAGAATACTCTAATTGTGATTAGCACTAAAAAATGTTATTTCTGTTTTAAAATATGAATTATCACATTAATGTAAATCTAGATATATCCAGATAAATATTTTGATATAATTATATCTTTAGCATTTCAACGACTATAAAAAATAATTAAATGAACTAGACCGATATGTCTTAATTAAGACTAATAGGAGGTGTATATGTTGATCTTTTCCTCTTTAGTCTTCGGAGTATAAGTTTAAGTTAATCTGAGTATATAGTATATAAGGTCCAGTGTACTTGACTCATACATGTCTTGCCTTACGTGTCAATTCTATATTACACTTAAACCCTTGTATCAATTCTGTGTATGTACTACTATCCACCAATCATTGAGGCAAGAATATTATTATATACTAAAATACCATTGAACATCATACAAATGCTCCTAAGCCGTCATGTGACCTATTATTTTTAAACATTAGTTTAGATGTATCAAAGTAATCTCTCCATATTAATCTCCCGTATCCATACCACAGAAAAATATGTACTATTCATCGAAAAAAACCTAGAAAAACATACCTACGCATGTATGATTAAAAATATTAATCTTTCCCTCCTAATCCTCAAATTTAAAACTAAAACTTTATTATGTTTGTACCTACCTACATACGATCAGTCCATCGAGTCCTCTATGACTCCTTTCACTCTTGGTAGGAGAACTCACTAGCCTACTTACTAATACACTTTTTTATAAGTGTATAGACCGTGAGCTAGGTATTAAAATTTGTGATCGACGATAGTCTTGAAGGGTATGGCTACATCAATGCGGCACCCATATTTAAAGGCATTATAGAATAAATCCTTAGCAGCGATGGCCAACTTAGCACGTTAGATGGGTATTTATATCTAATTTTAATGGTTTTCTCTTATTAATTGATAGAAGTGGTATTTAAAAATATTTATACATTTAGACACAAGTGAGACATGTGCACTTCGGTATGAAATGGAGATGATTTTTTTATTGTATTAATGATATATTAAGTTTGTTTTTTTAATAATCAATTCTATCTTATTAAAAAGGCACCCAACTCTTTCAAGAGAACAAAAATAAGTAGTTGTGATAGGGGACTTTATATATAACCAGCTAGGTTTTTTTTTTAATATGAGAGACATTCTTATAATTAAATTTAGTGTATCATCAAAGTCTATGGTCAATTTTAGGGTAGAGATAAGATAATCTATGGATTTTAAATAAAATATGGTAAGATAACATGTTTTAGCATTCTTTTAATAAATAATAACTAAATTGTCCGCGCATCTGCGCGGGCTTCCTCCCTAGTTGTTGTTAATGAATCTAGACATACTCCCTCCGTCCCAAAAAAAGACAAACCCTGGTTTCCGTACCCAACGTTTGACCGTCCGTCTTATTTGAAAAAATTATGAAAAAAATTAAAAAGATAAGTCACGCATAAAGTATTAATCATGTTTTATCATCTAACAACAATGAAAATACTAATTATAAAAAAATTTTATATAAGACGGACAGTTAAACGTTGGCACGGGAACCCACAGTTTGCCTTTTTTTTTGGGACGGAGGGAGTATATATCTATCCAGATTCATTAACATCAATATGAATGTAGGAAATGCTAGAATGACTTACATTGTGAAACGGAGAAAGTAGTAGGGAAGCTTCTTTTCTTTTCTTCCTTTTTTTTTTGCTAAATTACAGGGATTCTGAGAGGGTACTGCATGCTACTGGACTATTGTCACGTCTGGCAAAACCAGAAAATTCATCGAAGATAGGAGTAGTTACCAGGAGTAGTTGTGTATGACTAAATAATTATACAGTGCAACACTGACAACTTCTGCACAAAATGGGCTGAGTGGGATTTGCCTGGGATTTAATTTAATTAGTTCATATGCTAAATCCCAAGAAAATCCCCTCTCCAAACGAACAAAAGACGCGCAGAAGGTATAAGCTACTAGTACTAGTTCAAATCATAAATGAACAGCCATTATGGCTTTTTGACATCTTGGGTGTAGATATAATCCGTGTGGAATTCTTCCCATTTGGCTGAATCAAACTGCAGCTGCCCATTGTTATTGGAACCTGTACTTCCTCCATTCTCTCTGCTTGGTTCCTGATTGATCAAGATCATCATACTGTTAGAAGAAAACTTTCAAGAACGAACGAAACAGAGTGGAAGCAGAAACTTTGATCAATTTATAGATTGGATGTATGGAAATCTCAAAAAGTAGTACTACCTCTATAATATTGTCATATTATTGTGTTTTACAAATATATTGTAATAGAAACTAGTGATCCTATTATTATTTTAAAAACAATAACGATGTCTTAAAATTAAGATAATGTCGTTCTTTGGAAAGTTCTCCCTCCGTTTCATATTATAAGTCGTTTGATTTTTTTTCTAGTTAAGTTGGACCAAGTTTATTGAAAAATATATTAGTATTTTCAACCCAAAACAAACATATTATCAAAATATATTCAATGTTAGATTTTCTGAAACTAGTTTGTTATTTTAGATGTTTCTAATTTTTTCTATAAGCTTGGTCATACTTGACTAGGAAAAAAAATCAAATGACTTATAATATGAAACTGAGGGAGTTTGTTAAGACAGTGCGAAGTAACATTCATGAAGCTGTGCCTGTCGTATGCAAATATATAGCATCTTCGAACACATGGAGGTAACACGCATGGATGGATCGATGCAGCTCGGAGCATTGTACCAGGATTCCAACGATAAACATGTGGTTAAGTACATGTATTATGCCATCAAGAATGGTGCTACTGTTCCAGGTGTCACAGATTCAGATTAGAGTGTTTTCCCATGCTATTGCCCTCCAGCAATTACACAAGCTGAAAATAAACAAGAACGCCACGCCATTTCAGAACACGATGCTCCTGTTTCATTTTAGTATCTTATAGCCCAAATGTACATATATATAATACAGTGTGTGTATGAACTCTTCTCTCAATGCATATGCGTGCTTGCAAGTTGCAACCAGAGCCAACAAGAAGTTTGCAAAATGCATGCACTGTTCACTAGGAAAATTATAAGCCGTAACGCTTATTAGCGACCGAAAAATAATTTGTTTGTAAAGGTTTTACATATGTGTTATTAGCGGCATAAAACCCAATGTTGAGAAATAATCTATGATTAATAACACATCCACATCAACTCTAAAATTAAGTTATAGAATTCAAATTTGGCCACGGTTAATAAGCTGAAGAAACGATACTGAACTAATCTGCTGACCTGGGTGGTGGTTGTGCCGTTGCCGACGCCATGGCTGTGCTTCTCCTGCAACAGGAGCTTCCTGGAATGGGTATCTTGACCTAGCAGGAGGAGAGCAAGGCATAGGAGGCAGAGTGCCCTAGCTGTTCTTCCTGGATTCACCATTCTGAGATCTCTCTCTCTCTCTCTCTCTCTCTCTCTCTCTCTCTCTCTCTCTCTCTCTCTCTCACCAAAAGAAAGAAGAACACACTTGCTAATTAACTGATCAACTTTTTTGCTGCTGCTTCTTCTTTCTTCTTCTTCTTTGTTTCTTTGCTTTGCTGCCATTACCAGTATAGGAAGGAGGAACATATTTATAAGCAATGGAGGCTGGAGAGAGAGAGAGACATCGGTTCCTTGGAAAGAGTAGCATCTCGTACGTGCGCAATGCGCATGCTGCAGTGGCCTTGAGATGATAGCAAAAACAACCAAAGTTTTGTGGTAGAGTACGTGTGGATCGCCTTGGGGAGCTAAAATGATCTCAAAGTCCAATTTCCCGGCAATTCGATGTGTAAATTGTATATACGTTGGTATCTCGATCAAGTCAATTTTACAACTCAAGTGCCCATGCACTTGAATAGGGGTGAAAACGGTCACATAAATTCCCGATAGACTGGCGTACCATTTTTGACTATTTATAAAAAAAAATCTAATTTCTTTTTGCATTGTATTAATGTTGACAATGAATAGTTTAAATGATAAATACGGTCAATTACAGGTCGATTGAGCGTCGTTTCTAAAGAGATGCTACCGATTCTGACCGTTTCGACCGACTCGTCTATTCTAAGGCATGTCTTAACCAAACCAAGATGGTTATACTAGGATATCTCACCTATTTTTTTTTCCTGAATTTAAGTTTTCTAACCTATTTTTTTCAATAAACTATGTCAAAGTTAAGCAAGTTTGACCCATAACAAAATTAAAACATCTTATAAATGAAACGAATGAAATAGTAGTTTATTTACACGGGAATCGGGAAGATTTACCATGTCAGTAACTCGATGCATCGTACCGTACATTTTGACTTTGCAATGTTTGCACCAGGCCTACACCTTCAAAGCCTTTGCACATACCAAAGGAGAAATTTAATGAAGTTGACCCAAGTTGAGAGAAGGGCAAGGGAGACATGAGCAAGGAAGACTGAGAAATTGAAGTAAATGGTGGACATTGGGTTTTGCAAAGAGCTAGGAGTAGAGGGGAGACCTCTGCATTGGGGATGCTGCATTGAGCGGCTAATCAATGGATTCCAACACAAAGTCAAGTGTCAAAGTGTGTGTTTAGGCCATGCACAAGCTTCCATTCCTCCCCCTTCTCTCTCGCAGAGTTGGCAGCGATTGGACATTGTGGGGAACCGGCCTCCATGCCTTTCCACACGAAACAAAATTAGCACATGTCAATGCATGTGTGCGTGTCTTGTGTGGAGCATGGTTCTAAAATAACTTGGCATAAATAAAGAGGAAGTGGATCCTCTACTGTTTGGTTGTACTCCTCCATCTTGAATTATAATATCTATATTTTAACGAATATGAAATTAGCATTACATGAAAGTACTTTAAAATATAAATATAGTGATATAACATGCATAATATTTAGTATATATTAGTATTATTTTTAATTAAAAGTTATCGAGTTCGATTTTTCATTAAAAAGGAAGTGCCTCATAGTTTAGAACGGAGGGAGTATAATAATAATAATTATCATTGACATATGGGTATAGAGAGAACAAGTAGGGGTGGGCATTCGGTCTGACCGAAATTTTCGGTCTCGATCTTCGAAAAGTGAAGACCAAATTTCAACGCAAAAAATATCATGACCGACAAATTCGGTCTCGGTCTCGGTCTGACCGAAATTCAGCAACATTTTCATATATGCAAAGAAATAATGGAAATTTTTACACAAAAATCACAAAACAAATCCATAAGCACGTATGACTAAAGACTCTTATTACGTTGCATGCCTAGAAGAAGTAGGGCTGTGAAAATTAGAGTTTAATTATATTGAACTTGGTGGATTGTAGGTTGCATTTAGATTTTTTTTTTAATTTGGTCTTTCGGTCTATTCGGTTAACCGAGGAGACTAACCGAATTGACCGAACAAAGTTCGGTCTTTCACTATATAGGACCGAATTGATGACTGAATTTCTCGGTGTCGGTCTTTTCGGTTCAGATCTTTCTGCCTACCCCTAATAACAGGCTCACATGCTAGCTGTTATTAATGCTATTAATGCACACAGTAACCACGAATAATCCCTGTCGAGAAAAAAAAATGGTTGCATAAAAAGTTTCTCTAGGAAGGACATGGAACGGATGATAGTATATAGTTTTTCTTGGTTAAATTTTGCAAGGTTAATTTGGAAGATGAGAGTTTTGCCAAATTTATGTGCTTAACAAATGACTTGAACTAATTCCATACAAAATTCTATGTGCCAAGCATGCCCTTGGTCTTTATTTTTGTTGTAGATATACTACTAGAATATTGTACTGATGGGTACATTAGATTGTAAAAGATACTTCCTGCTGTCATAAAGCAACAAGTTTTACCAATAAAAATTTATTTGGATGGATGGGGGAAAAAAGGTGCGCGCATAAATTTGTCTCGATAAGTATTACAATGGAAAATGGTGCAAAAATGACTTTTTATCGTGGACTCTTTCCATTTCGGTCTGTAAGGTACACATTTTTCTATAGCTTTCCATGATATCAAATGTCCAAATGAACTTTGCTGTTTTCCCTAATTACCTTAGTGTATTTTATCTTCGTCATTCTTACTAATCATGTTCTCTGTATGCTTTATATGTTTCTCACCTCAAGGTATTTAAGTATGTTAGTATGGTTGATTTTCCTTGGTTTCAGTTGGTTTGACATGGTTTTTCCTAATTCATATGCAATACACACCTTAAGTTTGATATTGCTAGACTACTTACCAATGGTTTAATTTCCATCACAGGGACAAATTTGAAGTTATTTCCAAACTAGCATAATGTTTTTTTCCTTGAAGTAAGAAGATGCCACACTATCTGAAGAAAACTGCGGCTTGTATGCATCTTGAACTTTTTCACAAACCACTATACGTATGCAGTCTATTTTTTTTTGCTAGATATGGCCTTCCTTTTTCTTTTTGTAAATGGACTGCTTTAACTCACCACACTTATCAGGTATGCTACAAGGGGATTGCACATCACAATCCTGGATAGGTTATTATACCCTTAATATCCATCATTAGTAGTCTTCAGGAGCAAAAATCTTCTTAATTGTCGTCATTCATTGCTTTACCTGGCGAGATGACGTTTCCAACATTGTTTTGATCTTGCAAACGTAACAAGAAAACATGGGTGCATTGAAAGTTGAAGGCACTAACAATTGTTGATGATAAAGGGTTTTCAGCCCACAAATCACATCCATATCTTTTCCATTTGTATAATTGAAAGGTTTCTCAACTAGATGGAAGAAATTAGCCATTTGTGTCCTCAGAGCCTTTTGATTAGCCATTCATTTTCAGATTGTAGATGCCAAATTACAGGGTGTGACAAATTGAACCTGTGTTGAATCTTAAATACAATACTGCAGTTATGATCTTGTGCCCAACTAATAGAAAACTAAACCAGGAATTCAGGATCACAAGAAATTAAGTTTTACTTGGGTAAGTGTTGCTTTCATTGTGATTGATGCGTAGAGCAATTTAGCACATCTCATGAACATCTGGTGCTAAGAAGCATTTCTACCAGAAAGCACAAAAGCAAGAGCCATTTGTTTCATACGGCAGCAAATTAAGCAAAGTTTGCCTAAGAAATATGCATGCATGTTGCATGTTTCCAAAAGTTGATGGTCAACAAGAGTCACCATAAGCAATTATTGCCATCTGATTGGTATGTTCCGCTTTAAACATGTCTAAACTGTCCTAAACTTCTTCATCACTCGATTACTTTCTGCTTTGGACACTACAACTGCCTTGAGTGTCTCCTAGAAGTACTAGCATAAACCAAATTGGAACAATTATTGCTGCTAATGGCATTGGTAGGTAAGCAAATAAAAACTTGTTATATAGTATCAAAATTAATCCTATGTAGTAGACCTAAAGACCTAGATATAATATCTTATTATGCATAAGAGGTCATGTCATGTCCAGAGTTCTATTTATATATAAAACAAATTGGACAGAAGCTAATATCTTATTATGCATTCACTGAAGAAGGAGGTGCGCACCTGAGTCAGTCGATAGGATTTGAATCCTGATGGCCATTGAACTGTTTCTCATGTCTGAAATCGAAGATAATTTTTTTGCCATAATCCAGAGAATGGCACACAATATTGAAAGAAACCAATGTTCAGACTAATGCAGTATTGCATCTATCATGTATCCATCTGAAGATGCATGGTGATGTCAGGGTATTCAGAAATGTCACCACTCACTGCATTTGCATAATTGCATTGAGTTTGTAGGAAGAACTAGTTCTTTGTGAATCTGAACAAAAGACATCAAATCAAACAAAGACCTCTTATATAGGGATTGACCAAACAGTACCTGAAAACCTCAAAGTGGACCAAACAGTTGGGCTACTACTGGCATTTGCCCTTGTGCTTATAATCCTTTGTGGCGCCGCTATACAATATATGCATATAGCTGTCATATCTTGACACAAAAAGGCCTAAAAAGCACTGCCATTACTTTGCCAATTGCCACAACAACCGAAAAGGTTTTTTTTTTTTTGAAACGAACCGAAAAGGTTTAGCCAAATGACCTAATACACAATTCTCTGTGCTCAGTCTGCTATGCTGATACCTGTAAAAATCCAGCAAGATGAGGTGAGATCTTGACAAAGTTTCAAATCAACTTCCACAAGCAAATGCATTTTCAGACTTTGCTTCCATGGTTTCTACATGGTCCAACCCATGCTTACAGATTTGAAATTCCCCTGAACAAAACAAGAAAGTGTTGTTACTTCCTGACAGAAGAATTCTCCACAAGACAAGAACATTTCTGAAAATGAAACAGGCGACATATATAAGTTCTCCCTGGTGATGATGACATGTGCATATATATACAAAACTAAAACCAAGAGGACAGTGGCAAATCCCCAGAATCAACAGGATAATCTCGATAGGATGCAGACGCAATGAGCTGCAAAAGGCAAGTTTGCTTACAGCATAACCGGGCCAGTGGCTTCAGCTTTTAGGGCTCCTCCTTTTTCTGCTGTTTAAAGGAGCTAATTAAACTCGTCTCAATCTTTTTCCCTCCAGTTTTATATAAAGAGCTTAGCTAGTTCTTGCTAATCATCTCCTCCACATTGCCAAAAAAAAAAAATTGCAGCAGCGGTGTGGCATCCAATCAAATCATGCAACAAGACATCGCAGCCATGGCGTACCAATCGTTCGGCGCGGTGGACTTGGCGGCGAGCTTCTTCTTCTCCTCCTCCTCCTCCTCGCCGCAGCCTGGATTGGTCGGTGTCCATGGCGATCGGTTCTTGGGCGGCGGCGGCGGCGACGGCGGCGACGGCGGGAGCAGCTACGACGGCGGCGGCGATGGAGGGGCGGCGAGCGGGAAGGGGACGAGGCGCGACGAGAGGAAGGAGAGGCGGCTGGCGTCGAACCGCGAGTCGGCGCGGCGGTCGCGGGTGCGGCGGCGGCGGCAGCTGGACGAGCTGTCGTCGCACGTCGCCGAGCTCCGCGCCGCCAACCACCGGCTCGCCGTGGAGCTGAACCGCGCGGCGGCGAGGCACGCGCAGATGGCGCGGGAGAACGCGCGGCTCGCCGAGGAGGCACGCGCGCTCCGGGAGAGGCTGCCCCTCCGCGGCGGCGGCGGCGGCGGCGGCGACGGCGAGGCGGAGGAGGAAGCGGGAGGAGGCTGCGGCGCGGAGGCAATTTTGGCGCCAATGGATTAAGATTAAAACCAGTATCTGTGTTTAGCATTAGGTGATTAAATTAGGAGGAAGTGATTGATTTATTGTGCATAGCTACTGTGCCTTAATCGAGATTAATTAGGATTGTTATTTGGTCGTCCACTAATCTCTATGAAGCTAGGAAAAAAAATCATCGGATCATAATTGAAATTCCAAAAAAAAACAATGATAGAAATTTAACAGAACATGTTCCAAATACCTCAAATATCCAGCAAATTGGTCGAACAGTGGTTGATGATTCAGGGTTGTTACTTGTGAAAGACTTGAGCTAACTACTTGTATTGGGTTGCCAGAAATGAAAGGCAGCAGCAGCAGCATCAGTGAGTGATCCAGTGTCACCGGCGGCGAGTCCCCGAGCACCACCAACACCGGCGACCAGCAAATTATCACAGGGCCTTTGGAGTTTGGGCTTTTGCAAGACAACCACGAGCCCATGAGCTGCAATTGAACTGAAGGCCCAACAAGGATAAATGTATATAGATGCTTCTTTATCAGTCATGGCCACCTCTTCTTTTCTTTTTCTTTTTTTTGTCTTTCTCAAAAATAAAATCACCACCTTCTTTTCTACTATCATATACTACTATGAAGATGATAGCAGCATACCACATTCCTGTTCTTCTCAACCAGGAAAATAAGATCACCACCTTCTGTTAAGCTCTCTTTCTCTGCAATTCTGACCACAGAGATCATCTTCATGTCTGTGTAAAAGGCAAAAATGAGAGGTCTGGAACAACAGAACAGGTAGGTAGCAGCAGCCTCATCTAGAGTCAAGTCAACAGGCACAGTAAAACCTGTGTCAAACAGGTGTTGTATCATCTTCTCCTGTTCAGCCATCAGGATTCATCTGTTCTCCTAGTTCTAAACAGCAAGAATGCAAGATACACGCTAGCAAATTTCTACAAGAGTATCCCAAATATAATCCTTGCTGACTGGAGCACTCAAGGAAGGAAACCATTCTGTGAGACATTAAAAACAAGAGATTTAAGCTGATCATTGAGTAAAAAAATCACTGGCTACTGCCAGTCTGTCAGACATGAACCACTGCCTACTGCTGTTGCTCACACCCCTGACGTATTGCTACTACAGTGAAAGAAATTATATGGTAATAAGACTTGAAATTTCAGTGCAATCGTGGTGATTTCTGTACCCTGACCATAAAATAGGGTAAATGGTTGAAATCTTGACATACACTGAAAAATAGCAGGACAAAGTTTCAATATATGCGAATCTGATCAAAGGTATGCAAAAAAAAAAGGAGTATTTCTGAAACAGCGATGCAAAATGAGCTTGTGCCAGAAACTTCACTCATCTTGTGCAATATCACCAGCAAAATAGGATACAGCTTCAGATCTAGCTCAAACAGAATTTCAAAACAAGGCCAAGGAAAGGATGTGAGCACGTACAGAATTTTAGAAACAATCATCAATAACCAGATTTTGCAGATAAGTTCTCCATGGCCTGACAAATCTGTTTTCTTTAATTATATACCCACGGACCGCACCATGATACACTAGCTCAAGTGTGCTATAACATATGCAGGTTAGATCCACATTCCACAGTTCCAAGGGGGTCCCTGTGACTCCAACTACCTTCGGCCCAAATCCATGTCCACAACTATATGTATGAGTTAAGTGTTGTTACTAAATGGTGACTACAGTGGCTTGTTCTCCTAGATCTGTTGTATGTGAATATGTCGAATTATGGCACATAAACGGTTATGAAAGTTTCTAAGCAATACTATGCAGTCTGCCGAAGGGGTAACATATTAGCAAATAAAAGATGGGAGAATATTTTGCTTAATGAACATTAACTGTGACTAGAAATGGAAACTATGGCATCTATGCTAATGTTCCAAGTTTTCAATAAGCAAGCTACAGTGAACTTCATCCCGCATACTAATGAACACATATTTATTGGGGAAAATTGGAAACATGCCATTATAATTTTGCAAAATTTGAGATATGTCATCCTGACCCACATGTCATTGACTCCTGTGGGTCCTACATGTCATTGAGATACCGACTGCATATCTCAAACTTTGCAAAATTATAATGGCATGGTTCCAAATTATTAACATTTTTGAATGTATGAAGAAACACATGCTAATGAACACTGAATGTATGAAGAAAAATAAAAAGCTATACTGTTGTGTGATAATCTCAAAACCACAGTATTTATAGTCACAAGTAAATAACTGCTTATAAATGGTGTTGGTCATAAATAGCAACCTACAGAAAACTTTAGCATCTATAATCACTTCCTAATTGTTTTTTAATTAACACAAATAAGCACCACTGGGTTGAGTATTCTAGTACAGAAGAAGACAATAATTCAGTGTAGTTTCTTAAATTACGATGGCTTTTACTCATGCAGTAAGCGAAAACAAGAAAAGGCTAACAATTCTGTGCCAAACATTGAAACAATGCAAATAAAACAAGCATGGAGTGAGTAACATTTTTCTGTGTTTTCCCATCCACCCAACTAAACACTCAACGCAGATCACCCCAGCAACAGAACCATGTATCATCCCGTCCTATCCAACCTCGCCCTCAAACCAAACGCACCATAAGTGACATTAGTAAATAGTGACTCCAGTGTCTTGTTTTCCTAGACCTGCCCTGCGTGAATACGCAGAAGTATCGGCAAATAAATGGTTATGAATGTTTGTAAGACATACTATGCAGTCTACTGAAGGGGACACTAATATATAAGCAAATACAATATGGAATAATCTTTAACTCAATGAACATTAATAGCGAGACAACCGAAACTATGGCATTTATACCATTTTTCCACGTTTCCAATAAGCCAATTATAGTATTCTTCATCCTGCATGCTAGCTAATAAACACCTGTTTTGCCAGCATGTTCCCTGCAAATGGATATGAGCTGTACTTTGCTTCCCATGTGTTTATGGACCGTATGGCTTATTTGTGAGTAGTTAGTACTGACCATATATAAGATAAAACAAAACTATGAAGTTTACCATTTTTGGAGGACCATGCAACACAGTCATCTATTAGCTACTGCTTACTAGCAATGGCATGCTTTGAGGAACCTAAAATGCTACACTGTTGTGTGATAATCTCAAAACCACGGTATTCACAATAACAAGTAGATACTACTTTTGTCCCAAAATATAGCAACTTTTGGCTACGAATCTGGACAGATAGTTATCCAGATTCTTAGCTTAAAATGGACAGAGAGGGTAACTTCTTATAAATGGTATTTATCATAAATAGCACTATAGCAGCCTAAGCCTAATGAAGAGGAAACTTAAGAACCTAAAATCACTTCCGAATTGTTTTTTTTAATTAACGCAAATAAGCAACACTTGGTTGAGTATTCTGGTACAGAAGGAAGACTACTTTCCAGTTTGGTTTATCAAATTATGATGGCTGTTACTCATGCAGTAAGTTAAAAAAAAGGCTAACAATTCTGGGGAAACATTGAAACAATTTTCTGTATTATTGGAGCAGCACAACGTATTTACAGCAGTTCTAAATTCTAGCAATTGTTCTTACCGTTCAATTACCAATCATGACAGCTACGCACTAAAAAGTTTTGAGATCAAAGAGGTATGACACTCTCGAAGCATCCCAATGAGCAGTTAGAGAGTGAAGTTTCTCAATTCCACGGAATTGCAACCAACACATATCACCAAGCAATCCTAGCTCAAATTTGCATAGGAGTACCCAATTGCGCCACGGAGTCACCAGAAGAACGCCGCTTCACCCGCCGCTTCTCGTACTCGGGGTCATCGGTGGGCAGCTCGTAACGGCACACCGGACACGAGTTCCGGATGGCGAGCCACGGTTCGATGCACGCCCCGTGGTACAAGTGCGCGCACGGCAGCTGCGTGGCGAGCTCCCCCTGCGCGATCCCGTCCTTGCACACAGCGCAACCCCGCGACGCCGCCGCCGCCTCCTCCCCGCCGCCGCCGACCGCCACCACCTGGAGCCGCTCCACCGCCGCGCGCGCCGCGGGGGGCGCCCCTCCCGCCGCGGCGTCCGCGACGTGCCCCGGCAGCACCTCGAAGTCGTCCTCGTCCAGCGGCACCGGGAGCACCTCCCACCCCACGCTCCGGAAGATGTCCCCTATGTCGTCCCCCTCGTCGCCGAAGTCGAACGGCTCGTCGGAGAACCCCGATTCGTCGTCGCCGCTGTCGAGCCCCTCCATCGCGCCGAGGATCTCCCTCTCGTCGAGGAACCCGAACACGTCGCCGTCCCCAACAAGGCCCCCATCTCCTCCTCCACCACCACCACCACCACCAGCAGCGACGGCTCCGGGGGCAGGGACAGCGGCGTCGGCGATCTCCTCCCACTCGAATCCGCCCCCGACCATCTCCTCGTCGGCGAGGTCGTCCTCGAGGCAGTCCCAGAAGGGAGGGGAGCGGGAGGAGAGGCGGAGCTCGAGGTCGATGTCGGGGTCGGGGTCGGGGTCGGAGGCGAAGGAGAACGGGGAGCCCGGGGCGGGCGCGGGGGCGGCTAGGGTTTCGTCGTGGTCGAACCCCGCCGCGTCGTCGTCGAGGAGGAGGCGGTGGTGGGGGTGGGGGTGGCGCTCCTCGTCCTCCTCCTCGACCACCTCGGAGAAGGAGGCGAAGTAGGAGGAGGAGGAAGAGGAGAAGCCGGCGGGGTGGTGGTCGGCGGCGGCGTCGAGGAAGAGGTCGTCGGCGGCGATCTCCTCCTCCATGGGTCGCGACCGCGTGGGAGGGAGGCGTGGCGTCCCCGTCTCGAGTTTGGTTAGGTTGGGCCCGGCGGGGTCAGTCGACTTGCGGCCTGCGCCCACTTGGTCTACCCCTCTTCACGCCGCCCGCGCTGACGTCTTTCCGCCTTCGACGTCGCCCGGAAATACGCCTTCGGTGCACCGCTTACGTAGTCTCTTGTTGGTGGGACGATTCCGCTTTCTGGCCCGGCCCTGTGGCCCTGTGGCCCTGTGGGTGGGCGCCATGCCCGGTACTGTGGGTTAAATCTTTTGTTCATGGGTATGTCCGACCCAAGAGGCCGAGACCCTAGCGGGCTTAGCCAGGTTTTGTATTTCGTTCATGGGTAACCTATGTCCTACCTGGCCCTGGGTTTTGTAAAATACTCCTGATATATATGTTAGGTGGATATTTATAGTCAGCTGAAACCCTATAGAGAGAAAGACACTCAATTCCCCGATCATAGTCTCCACCTCTCCCACTGTTGTAAAATTTCCTTTGCTATGTTGAAGACCGTTGATTATTATTCATATGTTGCTCAACCTACTAGGTTACCCATGCCCGCCCGGTATGAATTGAATATGGGTATAGGTATTGGTTTCTATTCACTAGTGTTTTCAGGTGTGTTCCTGCTCTCCATCCATGCCCGATCTGGCCATTACCATACCTACTTGAAATAAAGTATAATTTTCACAAGGAGTTGATCAAATTTTCGTCAAGTGCAAAAGTAGAAGGATTTTGCAATATACTTGTAGGCTGTAGTTACCTCTTTTTTTTTTAACGTTCAACGGGTGGAAATGGTGGTAGAAATTCCAAACTGGCCCGCGCTAGATCCTGATTTGTATCAACTGAATTGACTGGGAATTGTAATTAAGGTAAACCAGACCATAGGAATCTTCTGATAAAGTCAATCAGAGAGGATTGAAAAAAGTATGTGCATCCAAACAACTTGAATGGCTCTTTTGTTCTATCATCCATCAGCTCTTGTCCTATAATTCTCTTTCACTTGCATTTTCTTTCGTTCTGAGGTGGAATCGAACCCGTTCATCTTCAGCGCAAGGGCGCTCGATCAGTGAGCTATTACGCACTCTTTAAAGGGTGGCTTTCTTTATCTTTCTCAATAAGAATGGCTACCACCTCCTGCTGGATCTTCACCTTCTGGAGTTCTTTCAGGAACAGGATATGTAACTAATGAAGCAGCAAAATTCTTTTATTTTAGATAGAAGAAACTTTTCTTCTATCTAAAATAAAAGAATGTACCCTTCTATCCAAATCCAATTGCCCATTCACAAGGACTCGATTCTATGTCCAAACAGGACCAGGAACCAATTCGAATTTGGATCTTGGTCACATTACCAAGGCAGACTTGAGACAAAAGGATTCGGGACTTGGAAGCTCATACCTAAGCAGGATAGTTATTGATTGCGCGTTGCCGTTTCACTAACGAGATTTTCTGACTATGCAGATCCAGAACGAACTGTCCAACTCACAATTGGAAACAGTAAAACCAGTTGAAAACAACAGTGGAGATGATTCCATTGTTTTGAATATGTGAACACATGTTTGTTGTAGTATGGCGTTTTTTTTGGGCAATTGTTTATTTGACCCCATTTTAAATTGTAATTGCCGATTTGGCCCTACATTTTGAACTTTGCTTATTTGACCCTCCTTTTTGAGTACAAAACTTCCGTCTAACCCTCTTTCACTGACTCCGTTAGGGTTCAATTTAAAAAAAAAAGAAAATCTTTCCAGAGTTCCTAATGGCGAAAATACCCTCCAAATCCCAAACCCTATTCTACTCTCTCTTTCTCTCTCTCACTCGTGCATTCCTCACGGTCTCACCTCTCTCTCACTCGTGTGTGCGGTGGCGGCAGCGAGTACGCATGCGGCGACGGCGGCTGAAAGGGGCGGCGGCGGCGGCGCCCGCTCGTTGTGGTGGAGGGCGGCGGCGCGTCCGGTCCGGGTCGGCGCCGATCTGAGGGGGGCGGCGGCGCCGATCTGTGCGGGGAGGCGGCGGCGAGCTGAGGAGGCGGCGGCGGCTGCGGTTTGATGGGGCGCGGGGCGGCGCCGATCTGAGGGGACGGGGACGGCGCGCTGTGGGGGCGGCGGCGGCGGCAGTTTGATGTGGAGCGGGCCGGCGCCGATCTACGGCAAGCTGTGGGGCGCGGCGACGGCTTGCTGTGGGGGCGGCGACGGCTTGCTGTGGGGGCGGCGACAGCGAGCTGTGGGACGCGGGGCGGCGGCGGGTGCTACACGCGGTGACGGTGGGAGGGCCAGCACTCGGAGGTAGCCGACATCGACGCTCCCTCAACCATGGAAGGGATTCCTACCAGCTCGGAGGTAGCCGACATCGACGCTCCCTCAACCATGCAAGGGATTCCTACCATACAAAGGTATTTTCTCTCTATTCTCTTCCAGTGACCCTGTGGTTGTGATCCTGTGACCCCGTGCATGCTTGTGGTTGTGACCCTGCTAGGTTATAGGAACATATGCAATACCATGCAAATTTAGGGTATAGATGTTGTGTCCAGTGCTAATTTAGGGTTTAGATGTTGTGTCTTACTCTAATTGAACTTGGTGTCTCCATTGCTAATCTAACCTAGGGTTTATATGTTGTATGTTGTCTCCATTCCTACAAGCACCTAAAAATTTTACTGAAAGTTGTTCTTTATCTTGTGTTGCTCCTATTTGTAGGCCTGTTCCATGTAATTTGATTCTTGATGTTAGAGTAAGGTCACATTTCAGTTTGCCAGATGGGGGGCCAAAGACCTATTTCACAAGTAGGCATTTTACAACAGATGTGGACATAGCTAGCTTCAAATTGCTGCAGTTAGTTGATTTCATCGGCTCTAAAATTGTGTGGGGTTCTAAACAATACATTACTTTCTGGCGTGTTTGTGATGATGCATGGGTTGAGATTAGTAGTGATGAGCAATTGCATGAGTGGTTATCGCTGAACATAGCTCATGAAGTAGCCAATATTGAAGCCGATGTTGATGAATTTAAAGGCCCATTGCAATGCTCTCCCACAAAAAGAAGGGTCCATCCAAATTTCAGAAATAGTGTGCAGCTGCAAATTGAAAGTGCTCCACATATTTCTTTGTGTCCTCCTGCTGATCTAACCCCACCCACAGCTAAAGTGGTAGAGCCACCTATTTCAAAGTCTAAGCATACCAAAAGAGCCACAAGGAAAAGGGTCAGTGATGAGACAGTCGGAGTTGATGAGGAGGGCTCATATTCCAAAACTGAATCATTGGTGGCACTAAGTGATAGTAGCTATGACACTGACTTGGCTGCATCATCTGATTCTGATTGCTATGATTCTGAATGCTCTGACTCCGATAACAGCTACGAACATGATGATGAAATTGTTGATGATGATGATGATTGTGATGATATTCATGATTTTTCATATGATGTTGATGATCCATGCATTGATGTAGATGTGCTGTTTCGTGATGTTGATGAATGCAAATCAGCAGTAACCCACCATGCAATCTTGAATGATTATGCTTTCCAAACTGTTAAAAAAAACAAGGATAGGTTTAAGGCAAAGTGTAGGCGAGCAAAGGAGGGTTGCAAGTGGATGTTTTTTGCATCCACCAGCAAGTCCAAATATGATGGATGCAAGGTATGTAGTGAGCTGATTTTTTTCCATGCTTTCAATCATGAATTTTAACATGTGTGCCTTCATGTGAATTTTAACAAGCCCATTGATTGTTTGATGCAGGTTAAGCTTAATGGGCCAGACCACATTTGTTTTTCAGTCAATAAGTGTGGTGATACAATGGCTTCTAAGGGATGGATAGCTGATAGGGTGGTGGACTGGTTAAAGGAGAAACCCACATTGGGACCAAAGGAGTTGCAAGAGAAGGTCAATAAGAAGTATAAGATGGATGTCCCATATTTCAGGGTTTTTAGGGCCAAGGAGAAGGTTATGGACATGATATATGGGAAGTGGGATGAGAGCTATGATATATTGCCTACTTACAAAGAGGCACTTCTGAAGGCAATCCCTGGTAGTATTGTTGAGTTGGACACTGAAGAGCATAATGGGGATGTTTGTTTCAGGAGATTCTTTGTAGCTCTTAAACCATGCATTGATGGTTTCCTGCAAGGATGTCATCCTTACATTGCAATGGATTCAACTCACTTAATAGGAAGGTAAAGAGGTCAGTTGGCAGCTGCTGTTGCAGTCGATGGCCACAATTGGCTATTTCCAGTGGCCTATGGGGTGATTGAAACCGAGTCTAAGGAGAGTTGGACATGGTTTATTCAGAACTTGAAGCAAGCCATAGGTACTCCTACAGGATTGGTCATCAGCACCGATGCAGGTATATTAACAAGTGATTTCCGTTTTGCATTCTTTTGTTCATGACTGTGATGTACACTTGTATCTCATGCCTTGTCATTTTGTTGTAACAAGCAAAGGGATAGAGGGAGCTGTAGATGGTGTCTATCCAGGAGTGGAACACCGAGAATGCATGAGGCACTTGTGGAAGAACATGAAGAAGAAGTATCATGGCACATTGTTTTCTCAGAACATGTGGGGAGCTGCCAAGAGCTGCACACTTCAGAGGTATGAATACCACATGGACAAGATAAAGGAGAAGTGTCCTGATGCAATACAATGGTTGGATGAGAATCATCCATATGTTTGGAGTAGGAGCAAATTTTCTGATCTCTGTAAGGTAGACTACATCAATAATAATCTTTCTGAATCATTCAACAGTTGGGTGTCAAAAACTAAGGACTTGCAGATTGTGGATATGCATGAGAAAATAAGACATATGATTGTTGCAAAGTTTGACTTGAGAGCCAAGATTGCTAGAAATATGGAGGGCAAGATAATCCCAGCCATTACCAAAGATCTTAATGCTCAGAGCAAGGCTATCAAGAACCATGAAGTTCTTAGATGTGGAGATGGCACCGCTGAGGTAACTGTATCCACCATTACACATGCAGTAAACTTGAATGAGAGAACTTGTAGTTGTAGGGCTTGGCAAATAAGTGGAAAGCCATGTAGCCATACTTTAGCTTTCATTGCAAAGCTTAGCAAACAAGTACATATGGGTGATTTTGT